TTGAAATGATTTGCGAAACACTTTTGCATACATTTTGACACAACATTACAACACATGCAGTGATCACGTGATCAACGCATGGCTTCTCCACCACAACAACAGTGAATGCATTGTCTGTTTGTTTGTTCACATAACTGAAGACCACATCAAACAGTGACCAAACAGTGACCACTCATTTGTCGGACACAACAGTGATGTCACCGCAGAGTAAGTCCCGACTGGAAGTGATTGAGACGACAAATGGCGGCGAATGCGCTATCGTTTCGCTCACCGATGAAGACCACACTCTGGCCAATGCTCTCAGGTTTTGAACACACCATTGATTGCCATTTAATCACAATTAGTTATCGTTTGATGATCTGATGGACAGGTATGTGATGGTGAGGAACAGTGACGTGAAGTTCTTCGGCTATTCGATGCCACACCCGAACGATAACGTAGTGTTGCTTCAGATCCAGATGAACGCCGGACTCAATGCCATCAACGCCTTGGAGAAGGGCTTCAGAGATCTCATGGATTCGTGTCAACACGTGAAACATGTCTTCAATAAATCCTATCAACACTTCCAACACAACTCTGGCGCCGATTGAGCGCCGCATCCATTCAACAACACATCTCTTGTTATTATAACTCTTAATGCAATTGAAAAATGTCTTAATTTATAATTTAATAGTAAAATTAATTTTATTAAATGATTGATTTTTGTCATCTATTTTGATGTTTATTTACAGTAATTATACCATTAATTGTGTGATTTGATTGAAAAGACAATTAGGGTTAGACTCTTGAGGGACTGTCGGCCACAACACAATCACAAGAGATGGGCGCCCGAAGTGTCAGTCCCTAAATGTCACAATTGGTTGAATCGCTTTCTTGTAGTCTTAAATTTTCTCAATAATGAGCTATGAATTGAATTAATGTTTAAAGCAATTAAAAGTTGTGCCAAAACTTGGGCCCAAAAGTGCGAACAAAACAGACATTACGTATTTGTTATGGTTTTTGTAAACAAAACTAAACCATAGTTTTTGACAACACTTTTAGCGATGCTTTCAATGAGCCGTCGATTGTCTCTTCATTTCAATCCATTTCACGTCAATTCTCTTCAAAACCGTCTCTTTTATGGCCACAAATCGGCGGCTATTTTGTCGTCGACCAGATGTGGCCCACAATCGAGACAATTGTCTACAAATGAGGTCCCGAAGTATGACATGGAGTACGAGTTGCCACCGCTTATGAAGTTTATGCCCAAATCGGGTCCCAATCTCTTCTACGTCCTGAAGAATCACTTCATTATTAACATGTATTTAAAGCCTAAGATTGACAAAGACTTTGATCTCAAGAGTTTCCTATTGGGAGTCAAACAGGCATTCAATTCATTCATTTAATTGATTAATTGGTTACTTATTTCATACAATTTAAACATTCCTCCGCTTATTTCAAAGGCTGTGTCCATCATATCATCCAATTTAGCCAACGATCACATCGAAGGCATCAAACATATGCTAACAGAAGAGGTAGTAATTGATTGTGTATTGAAATTAAATACTTTACAAGAGTTTTAAAGTTATGTTTGTTTTGCATTCAAAGGCATACGAAACAGTGTCGAAGAGTTTCGCCAACTATTCATTACATCAGAAATCACTGCTCAAAGTGGACACCGAAGACATACATCTCTGTTATGTTTATAATATCCAAATCGTGAGACAATGTATTGACTCTTATATCGCTTGTGTCTATAATAAGTGGTCTTAAAAATATTTGACATTCATTTAGCGCCCGATTCAGTGACTGTTAAGATATTTGTCATATTTGATGGTGTGTTAGGAATCGGCGATTTATTTCGAGATCTAATGGTTAACCAAAACTTTGGTGGCCTTTTTAGCTTTACTTTTAAAAGTTTGTTTCAAAATAAGCTTTACTTAAATTACGAGTGAGTTATCGATAATATAAGTTAATTATTATGTTTTGTATAATTTGTAATCTCTTGTATGAAATGAGTGATAGATTTATACGGCATTACGAGTGCGACAGTGAAAGCGATTGGATTGTCGACAAAGTATTGCACATTAAAAGCATGAAAGATATTGTTAGTATTTTTGTCTCAACAACCCTTTGCTACCTAATTAGGAGTGCAGAGAGTGTTGGGACAAAAATAGCTGACTCTGTGATGTGATTTGCAGCATCACTGCATTCTGTGTCTCAGTCGCACACATTTCGAGATCTAATGGTTAACCAAAACTTTGGTGGCCTTTTTAGCTTTACTTTTAAAAGTTTGTTTCAAAATAAGCTTTACTTAAATTACGAGTGAGTTATCGATAATATAAGTTAATTATTATGTTTCGTATAATTTGTAATCTCTTTTATGAAATGAACGATAGATTTATACGGCATTACGAGTGCGACAGTGAAAGCGATTGGATTGTCGACAAAGTATTGCACATTAAAAGCATGAAAGATATGTTCAAATTGATAACCACTCAAATGTTTGGACAAAAGACATAAATACTGATACAGGTTTAGTATTAAAAGACTAATTCAAACTTTTATTAGTTTTATTGGTAAACGTTATGTAATGTATAGTAGACTACATGTTATCTGTATTTATAAATGACAATAAAGAGAGATTAACTATAAAAGTGATGACAATTATTTGGTCGGTTAAAAGCATTACCCCCTGACTCGCGATGGCAACAAATCAACGACTTTTCGGTCGTCGACCACATGTGACCCACAATCGAGTCAATTGTCGACCAGTGATGACCAGAAGGCCTTTGAGTACTCAATACCACCGCTCATAAAGTTTACCCCCAAAGGGACGCCTAATCTCTCATTATAGCACAAGATATGCGAAAATGCCTTTAATTCCGGACATTGAATACAATAGCAATGACTTTGGCATCGCTTACGACTTCATGAGAGTAACGATTCCTTCATTGAATCGTTTGCCACTTCTGTTGTCTCCTCTCCGGTGTCTCTACTCTTCACATCTCCTCAAACTCAAAGTCAGACAACGACTCAATGAAAGACGTTTTAAATTTATGTTAAAATTTGTTAATATTTAAATTAAATGTTAAATTGTTGGAAATTACTATTAAATTAAAATCTAATGTAAGAATTACTGCTAATTACCGAATTCTTCCACTTTAACCGCCATGGCGCCTTATGTCAGGGGTCTCTGACTCGGGTACACCTCAAAATAGCATGGTGTGTTACCTAGGTAGCACGCCACCCCCTCTAAAAAATTGAGATAACATATATCAGTGCGGAGACAGTGAACCACAGTTTGATAATACGTCCCGATTTGAACGTAACGACGGATCCGATGTATAAAAGCGTGAAAAATGCCGAAAACGTGGCGATGGATGCGGTCGACGACGGGAATGACATTCGCGCCTCTCGTATGACATCCGTATGGTTTGGACACAGAGTGGAGTCGTCGTAATCGTCGGGACTGATCCATATGTGCGACAACTCAACGTACGATCTGTTGTCCCAACCAATGCCTGTCCTCTCAATTGTCTGTTGTCTACAGATTTCGACAATTTGTTGGCAAACGTGAATGAAATGAGGTCTTAGTCTTCCGCTAATCAGTTTCAATGTGTCCGTCAGTATACTTGTGACCAGAAGTCCGTACGCAAAACCACCTGATTTTTGGTGCAATTATTACTTGTGTTAAAATTGTTTGAATCAATCAATTGAATCGTGAATTACCAATGAATCTGAATATTCTTCTCAAAGGCATATGTATTCTACATGTTATACAACCGGTTTGGGCGGCGATTACTTTCTTCTTCCTATTGTTTGCTGTCTTTGCGATCATTCGTAACATTTCACAGACTATTACCTGAAATGATATTATTTATTAAAAACAACATTTAAAAGCTCTAAATCCAGATTTTATATTCAAGTTATACTGTATTTGCAAATTCTAGTCAATGCTATTTCAATTATAATTTGTATTCAATTAATTGTATTCATTGAAAAGATTTTTGATTGTGTTATTATTTTCAAAATTTTTATTATAAAACTTTTTAAATTTCTGAACATTTTATTATAAATTATTAAACATTTTACTTATTATTTCATGTTTTCTATAACAGAAATTGGAAATAAAAATACAGGAAATTTTACGCACATATTATTCAATGAAAATAAAGTCTGTTTTTCTGATGAAAACTTTTTGATGAAATATCATTTGTTTATAAATTAATGTTTATTTGGAGTTCAATTACATAACAGTCAAAATATATTATATAAAACCGAAAAGCAATTCATACTGTATTTATAATTACGATATAATCTTATGAATTATTAATGCATTGATTTATACGCCGAGTCATTAGTTTTCGTTTCAATTTATAGTAGTTTTTCTTTCATA